GGCATCTGAGCATGGATATAAAGTCATCAGGTAGCTTTCAATGGTAATGTTTTTCACATCAACTAATTATTATTTTTTAATCATTATTTTTTTAATTTTTTTTTTCATACAGAAGAATTCATTCCAAAGCAATTGACATTGAGACGTTTTCACATGCATTTCTAATCTCTATATACATGACTATCACTGGTCACAGTTGCCCACCTTCTGAGCTCCTCGGCATCTGAGCATGAATACAGTCAGATAGACAGCCTTCCTCTCCCACTAGAGGCTCCATACTCTGCCATCCCTGTCACTGTCCACTGTGTTGTCAGCACCCCCATCCATTCCCCCTGTCTGCCCTTCTGGTAAATCTAGTCAGCCAGAGGTCCCTGTTCCAGGAGGGTCAGCTGTTCCTCATCTACGGCAATCCATTGTCAGTATTCCTTTGGATAGAATTGGGGTCTGCTGTTCATTTTTCCAGTAGTATGTTGGGTTACTGTCTGGAAGAGCCTTTATCTATCCTAGCCAACAACTCGACTGAAGGTATCGCCTGTCTGGCTTTGTTGTTTGTCGAGTAACTTTTAGTTATGTATATGTATGCTCTTATGATATTATGTTGGCCCCTTTAATCTTTAGTTATACTTCCTTTTTGGGTGTTTAAGGACATACAATTGGACCAGATAAACTGATTTGTTTTTACTCCATGAGTACTTTTTAAGGGTAAACTTCTGGAACCATTGCTTGGTTCATGAGGATGCCTTTTACTAACTTTAAAGCATTTTGCTTAACCACCAGCTGGACAGAGTTACTGCTTGTGCTCCAACCACCAACATATCAAGGCCTCACACGTTCGCTACATGAGTACTGGACACTCTCATTTAACAATGATTCTGGTTTGAGTGGGGAAATGTGGCACCTCAATTCTACAAGTTTTACTTATTGTATAAAATATTTCCCTTGACTGCTTTTCCTTAGGGATGTATTTGTTTCATCATTTATTAATTTTCACAAACCATTAATTTATACAATGTATTAATCATATATGTCGTATCATTATTGTTACTATATTTTTAAAATGTATTTTATTATTTTTATTTTATGTGTATGAGTGTATTGTCTGCATGTGTGTAAGTACACCTATGTCATGCAATGCCTGCAGAGGTCAGGAGAGGGTGTTGGATCCCCTGGAACTGGAGTTATGGATGGTTGTTAGCTGCCATGTTGGTGCTGGGAATCAAACCTGAGTCCTCTGCAAGAGCAGTCAGTGCTCTTAACTACTGAGCCATCTCTCCAATCCCTTTTCGTTACTATATTTTAATTACTTTATTATGCTATATATTAATCATATTGCAGCCACATAATATTCACTAATATATGCATTATATTCACACATTATACATACATGTGTATGTATACTGTGTGTATATATATGACAATCTTGCATGTGCTATCTGTCATATCTGGCAGTCAGGACTGATGTTGAGAACAGACAGGCATTTTATAGTCCATACCTGATGCTGCTGGCTCACCTTGTGCATCAACAGGATACACCATTATTCAGTCCCCTGCCTGTCATGTAGGCTCTACTCCTGAGGGAGTCCTGGGGGCCCTCATATTTCTTGTTTTCTCAGGCATCTGACCTTCAGTCATAAAACCCACCTTCTCTAGTCTATTAATTTTCACAGCTTTTGGGTCAAAGGAATTTGCTAAAGGAGTTGGTATGGTCCTGAAGACTCGAGAGATTGATCCAGGGGAAGCCTATGGGGATAATGAGAACTTTGAGGGCACTGTAGATGAGAGACATGGGTCACTGGGTGTGGCAGTGTCCTGAACATGCTCCCTTTGGAAGACCCCTGACTTCTTTTGGGGAAGGCATGCTTGGTGTTCTGATTTGACTTCATCTTATGGTCCTCTCTCAGGAGTTCCTTCGGGGAGTCTGCACACAGTACTTTAAGAAGTCACCATGTGGGGCGACTTGGGGACAGACTCTATGGACAGTAAACAGAGGCCAGAAGGGGTGCACATTCTGTAGTGAGGGACAATCCTGCATAGTATGGAATCACAGTGAGTGCTAGTAACATCCCACAGAGCA